GAGTGCCGCGGGCCCGCGCGCGTCCCGTGGCCCTCCCGGCGCGCGCTCCGCCTGCATCCGTGCGCTGTCCCGCAGCTACGTGCTCACGCTCATCACAGACGGCATGCGCAGCGTGCGCTCCTTCCACTTCGACAAGGCGGCCGCCAGCGTCCTCACCACCTGCGTAAGTTGCCGGTGCGCCGGGCACGGCGTTTTCTTGGGAAAGAGGCTTCCCAATCACAGAATCGTGGAATCCTGGAATTCCGAATCCCGCTTTCCCGGGAGCGCCGGTGGCTCTGCCGCTAGTGCCGGGCGCGCAGGGCCCAGTGTCGCGTGCCCGTCTGGCCCGGCGCCTGGTGAAAGTGCTCGGCCCGGCCCGTTCCCTGCGGCCGGCGGTTGCGCCGCAGCCGAGGAAGAGGAGGGGGAGAAGCTGCTTCTCCCCGGTAAGCCCCGGTGTCCTCCGCAGATGGTCACCATGGAGCCGGGATACCTGTTCCTGGGCTCCCGCCTGGGCAATTCCCTGCTCCTCAAGTACACGGAGAAGCTGCAGGAGCCGCCTGTGAACGTAGCCAAGGACCCGGCCGAGAAGCAGGTGGGGCCCTTCCAAGGGGCTGGAGGCTCCGGGATGATCCCTGGGAAAGGGGATTCCCTCGGGAATGGCTCCAACCAGCCCCTCCACATGGGGAATGTCCCCGGGGCACCGGCAGTGACTCCGTGCCTTGTCCTTGCAGGAGGAGCCCCCGCTCAAGAAGAAGCGCTCCGAGTCGTCGGGAAACTGGGCTGGTAGGTGGCACCGCCGGGCCCGGCGCGGTGGCACAGGGACACCGGGAACATTAAATGCTCCTGTGGAGCTGCAGGAAAAGGGGTGTTTGTGAGAGACCAGAGGCCACGTGTTGCTGCTGCTCTCACCGGGCGCCCTGGTCTCTTCCCAGCGGGAAAGTCGGCCCCGCAGGACGAGGTGGACGAGATCGAGGTGTACGGCAGCGAGGCGCAGTCGGGCACCCAGCTCGCCACCTACTCCTTCGAGGTACCCGGCGCTCGGCTCCGTGCCGGGGCTCCCGCGTCCCGGCGCTGCCCTCGTCCCTGCGCTGCCCCCCCTCATCCCTGCCCTCCTTCATCCAAA